CCTTAAAGGTGGGATCAGGTACCATGGATAAGTGAGCATCCCCTATCGACAGGACACAGCAGTCGTGTGTTCCTTGTCATGATTGGGAAATAACGGGAAAGAATTAGTCGACAATTCATTGTGTAAACAAACAGTTAGTAGGAAAAAAACACCAGTCAGCATTTGACTTAATGATATTGTATCGACCACAGAACTTAAGAAATCATGACTCTAAACGAGACTGCTGACATTCTTGTTTCATCAACTCGTCATTACGTAGAGCATGCTCTTGCGTATCGAATCAACTACATATATAAACCCCGTATGCAGGTGATAAAGGTATATTGCTGTATAAGAAAGGGAAGTTGACGGTTGGAATGTAAGACATCACATGTATCATAAAGCCAGCTAAGATTACCATTGACTCTGCGATATCTTTTACCTCAATCTCGAATGGATATATCGTATCGACAAAAGAATGAAAATAACCATTATGATTGTTAATTGACAATACTTCGTCGATATATCTAAATGTCGAGTTGAAATCCAAAACAAATCTTTTTCTTCTTTTCAAGTTTAAAATTGTGCTTTGTATGAATACAGTCATGTATTGCGTTTACACTTTCTTTACGACCAACAATTGTAAAGATTTGAATCCACCAATGTGGAATTCCAGGTTTGAAGTATTTTTGGGAGTTGAACTATGTTCAGACTCCCTGGGCTGTCACGCGGTTTCTAGCGCAGTAATTTTACAATGAATTATATAGCGGCCGTCGTGGTGTTTCTGTGTCGCCCAATTTACTCCCCTGTGATATTCAATACCAACTCGTACCAGTCTATATAAACTCGAAGAAACATCCGCAATAAAAATAGTCCATCTCATTTTTCTGAATTAATCTAATTTTCATAAATGATTTGAAAGTAAGTGAAATAGAATTTTATTTAACTTAATTTGAATCGCATATTTTTGTCATCTTTCTTGAGAAATGACACATAAATTTTGATTTCCGTATGAAAAAAAAGTCCCAGTTTCCGTCATTTATCATTCGGCAATGCTCGGCTGACTCCACTACTCTCCATTACAAAAAGTGCTAGGTAATCCAAGGAGAACTGGTCTAACTGGTTTGACAATGACGCGATTGTCTCAATATAGAGACGTTAACAATGATGTAAGGAAAGGAACGCTAAGGTTTAACCCAACTTCTTTCAATTTGTTTCAGCATTAAAGAGACAGAACAACGTTTCTTAAAAAAAAAAAACACTGCGGAAAATATTTATTTGCTCTGACAAGTAAAATGATCTGTTAGACTGGAAAATTTTTGTCAGACCAGACACATGCAACTCATTTTTTTACGTTGGTAAAGGGAAAAAATAATAGCATTAAAGTTTGTTGATATTCGATCACACAATTTCAAATGACATTAATTTTGCATCCTTAATTTCATGAATTTATCAGCATTCAGTTGGTCACGTGTACAACACCAAATCTGAACTTGAAAAATGTGTGTGTACTTGTATTGCAGTATTATCTTATAAAATGTATCATTTGATTTTATTACATAATTAAAACAGTTAAGATTAATGAATACATGCGTATGCACGGACACAATGGTATGATAATCCCAATGATCGATCTGTGAGAAAGATCGTTCCTCAAGATTACAACTATTTTTTTTTCTTGTAGTAGCTCATTAAACTATGTCTGATTTTTAATTACATTTGAATCAAATCAAAATCACAAACTTTAAGTCTCCCTCGCGTGGCGCAGTTGTTAAAATAGTTTGCTCTAGAGATCAACGTAAGGTGTTAATTGATCCTTACGTTGCAGGTTCGAATCCTGTGGGATGCATTTGGAGATAAACTCTTTTGATGAGACCATATAAACCGAAATCCCATGTCGCAGAATGTGCTTGCACAAAACGATCCCTCACTACTCAATAGTTTTGAGAGCCTTGTATAGGTAAAAATTTGTAGACTTACATGTAGCTAAGTGTTTCAATATGATTAATAAATTATCGAACGTAAAACAAACAAAATGTAAAGTATTCAGACATACTTCTATATAGATATTACTTGAAATGAAATTTAAAATTATGGAAAAACAAAACTTGATGATTAAGTTATAAAGATAGATACATTAATTTTGATAAAATAGATAAGCATGGAGTTCTATAAAAATTAATTATTTTGTCCAAAAGAAACATTCATACCCAAAAGAGAATAGCAAATACTTGTTTTAATCAGAGGAAGAAAAATGACAATCTAGTGTCTGGTGATGGTAACATCGAATATAAAGAGTGTTTGTTTGTTTGTTTGTTTCTTGGGACCAAATATCTTGTACACATTCTAAAGAGAGTAGGGGGTGTTTTGATTCAAATGTTTCAGAAATATAAGGGTAGTGTTTGAGTTTTAGTAATAAACGGTACTGAAAGAAGTTTAAAACCTAACAACAAAAATAGTATTTTCGAGTTTGAAAAAAATTATTTTTTTGGTGATGGGGTTGTTTGTTTGGTTTGGTCAAATTGTTGAGGTAAGAATTAGAAAGAATTAATCCAGAACTAAACTTAGCTGTTCGTGCGCAATAAATATACAGTTTTGCAATGGATGGCACTGTAGCTCTCCGGTCTGTGAAAATCTTTTTTTCGGAGAACTACAATTCTGCATCTAATTTAAGAGCAGTCCCATGATCTTGGCTATTAAAATGCAATCGAAATCATTTTTAATGTTTCGTTTTGTATCTCTAACAAATCAGTTCTAGCTGACTTGAATCTGAATGCATGATGATGTTCCTGTACTTTCTGTGAGATCTTTCAGATAACAATGTTCAACTCCCATGAGTACTTTCAGTACTTTGATTGCTCTATGTAATCAATTTGTTTTTTTGAGTCAACTTAAAGTATACATATTGATCGAAATGATTTGTGTGTATGCTAAAACATAAAATAAAGAACTATATGCGGTATTAACCAACATTTGCCCCCCAAAATCAAACTTTGATGGAGTAATATTTAATTAAGTCCTTAAACAGGGGAGTATATGCTGACTTCAAAGCACTGAATAATTTCATAAGTAATGACGTCATATGTACGTAATGACGTCACAAATATGACGTAAATTTCAGTTTTTTATGAATTTTGCAGAAAAATGTACATATTTCGTCGATATTTTAAATAAAAGTCACCGAGCGCATGTGTGTTCAGGAAAAATATTTTGATATATAAATGTGTAGAAACTGATAATATCAATGAAATATGTCAATATTGTTCCTGAACACACATGCGCTCTATAAATTTTAAAGCTTAAATTGTTGAAATTTTGTCCATTTTGTCCTCTTTCTGAAAAAGAATATAAAATCGGACTAGTTTGTGACGTCATAAAAACAGAAATTGTGAATACACTGCTCTGGAACTATAATATTTTCTGTTAACTTATATTTCCGTACAATTTATTGAATTCAGCACATTTCAGGAAGTTTTCAAAATTTGACTTTTGTAGGGGCAAACATATGCAATATACCGCATATAGTTCTTTGCGTTAAATTCAGAATTTATCGCTACTGAATTAATAAATATACAATGTATGAGGAGCATTGTATAATTTCTTCTCGTGATTTTCCAGTTCTCTGGGTATACTAGCGGTGGTAATCTTCAGTTACAACATTCACTACTGCTCCCTACTCGGAACTTTCAAGGAAGCTACTGCACATGTCACCAAATATGACTAATAATGTTTATTTTTGTATTTTTGATTCCTGAAGAGGATGAAAAAGAAAGACATCTTGTGTAATTGAATGCAACTACAACAAGATAAATTTTCATTAGCCAATATATTGTGCACGAATAGATCGACAATGCATATAGGAAAAAAATTAATTTGTTAGATATAATGAAATTGTTATTGGTTGCAAATGATACAAATACGGTTTGCCATCCCGTTGAACTTAGCTTTAACTCTTACTGAATTGTGACGCAACATACCGTTAATATTCGCATCATAGAAATATAAATTCACCTTTCCCAGCAAGCACTTTATAGTGCAGTATAAGTTTCTCTAAAATTTAGCGTAGATAATTATGTTGTAATATTTTTTATGAGATTATGACATTTTCTTATTTTATAAGATTTTTGCAAGCATAAAATAAAAGAGAATAGGCATTAAATTGAATCTTGAAAGTGCTTGAAAAATTAGTTATTGCGGAGAATCGGTATACATGTATGCGTGATTTTGCGTACGAAATAGGAAACGGTATATACGTTAAAATGCATGGCTTCTGGGGAGGGGGTTAAATACTTAATTTAAAGAAATGTGTACCATTTTATGAAGTAAGGAATCGTACATTTTGTCATTTCCCTGAGCAATCTTAGAAATTGTTTTTAAAATAATTATTTATTAAGATACTATTGAAAAAAAATTACAGAAGTTAAAATTGATACAGCCTTCCATAAACATTTTACTTATTCCACAACGCTAAAATAATAATTTTCAAAATTTTTGAAAATAATGTAGTTTGCTATCTATCGTGGTTCTTGAAATTAATACTATTCATTGCCAAACACGTTTTTATGAGCATTTTTAGTCATATTTTGACAATGGTACTGTATTATTTGTTCAGCAAAGCTCACGTAAAACGCAAAAATTTTGGAATTAAAAAGACAAAAGTTAAGGTCTTAGGGCTGTCATCATTTTTGTACCCCCCGCTTGAAAAGTGGGAGCGTATACTGTAATCGGTATGTCCGTCCGTCAGTCTGTCAATTACGCTTTGATATTAATTTTGCAACTCCTGTTATACCACTTAAATCTAATGAAACTTTCACAGAATCTTTATTACATATTATATATATATATATATATATATATATATATATATATATATATATATATATATATATATATATATATATATATATATATATATATATATATATATATATATATTTTATTTCGAAGTATTTTGCAATAATACATGTCTGTTGTCGACAGTTTACGTTTTATTTAAAACACACAATCGTTCTATTTATATGAAGTACCATACCTCAGTGCACTGAATCGTGAAACCGTGACATATATATTAGGGTGGATGATTTAAAGGTTAAATATTAGGATACATCTTTAAAAAGGTATGTTAATGAATCAATATTTCTTGAGATCCTTTAGCTATTTAATGTCCAATATTTCATTATACAATTTCATTGATACCAACATAAATGTTCTAAGCAACCAAATAGTATTTTTAGAGAAAATTACTAAGCAATATTTCATGATTTCGAAATAATTTTTAATTCCAAATAACTGGTGGATTTAACCTAAATAGCAGGCATGTTTGTAACTGTTATATTTATTTCATCTTCTCTTTTTCTTCTACTTGTATGTGAAAAATGCCACAGAAAGATAGCTATATATGTTAAATCATATTATGTGCATATGTGTGCAGTTTCTTCAAAGCTTTTGTAAGACAGCACAATTAGACTGTATTTTATTAAACTATTTTTTTGATTTCAAAGGAATAAAATGAAGACAATAGAAGTTGCTGTCATCATATCTATATTAAATGTGTTCCTTCTGACGTGCGTACAAGCAGAATCCGAGCCCTATCGAAATTGTAAGTAGTCATATTCTCAGTGTGGTTCTCATAATTAACATAATTGCAGTCAATTTTACAGTGAATTGTTGTCTTTAGCGTAGTGGGTGGGGATTGAGTGTGGTAACATGCTTGGCTTGATTTTTGGTATTGGTGTTGTGAGGGTGCTCTCTAAATTACTGTAGATGGGGTCATAATTCCGCGGAATCTCAATTTCTGTTAAATCCGCGGGTAGAAAATTATGCGGATTTTCTTGACTGTCACTATAAGCCTAACATTTATATCAAGTACGCTTGGACAAATTTCCGCGGATTATCTATGACCGCGTACATAGCGTAAATAAATACCACGCGGATAAAAGTACTTCTACAGTAGTTTCGGGTGCTTCTTCTTGATTTTTGATTTTAATACTAAGTATGGCTTCACTTAAAGGATGACTAGTGAAGTCTTGATGAACTTTTCGGAATGAAAGATAAATATGAAGAAGAGAGACCGAAACACTAAAAATAACTTGAAGAAAATTCATCAAGATTATTATAACCTACAAAAAATGTTAGGGCAATAAAATCATGAAAATATCACTATCAGTTGCAGGTAACGTTTATATTTCTCAACATATATAAGTTTTTTCTTCTTTATGTTTCGTAAAAAAATATATTTTAGCTATGAAAATATCAATCAATAATCTTACTTTCAGATACCTTTGGAACAGATTGCCTTGTCCACACGAAAGAGTTATCAGTAGATAAATGGATGGAAGTCTATTACAGAGGCAGCGAAAATGTAGGACTATTTTGTAATGGTATGACATTTGAATGCATAGACAATTCAGAAAACTGCAATGTGTGCGTGACTATACAGGAATTTGTTGATCCAGATTGTGTGTTAAAACTCCAGTTTAAAGAATCCTGGATACATCCGACAGAACATGTAAGTTTATTTTTCAGACCTAAAAATTATTCATCAGAATAGTAAAATACATGAAAATTGTAAGGTGCAATATTTTCCCTCAATTTTTAAATTTTCTGAAATACCAAAATAAGCACATAAACTTTTCCTCAATATTTTATTTACGTATAAATAAATTTATTTCATTTATTTTGCTTATCTTAACAGAAAGATCACATGTTGTCCGTCGTCCGTCTGTCTGTCTCTCTCTCTAAATCAAATTTTGACCCAGGTAGGGTGGAGCAATAATAGTTAATCAAAATGTAACATTGAAACATACAGGAAGTATCTTTTCAGAACTTTTTCTCAAGAACCAATGGGCTAAAACTAATGAAAAATTTATTAAGCTATCCAGTAATTATGCTATTTCCAAATAGATCAAAGGATGACTCCCGGGATAGGGCGGACTCAAGATAGAAAAAGTTTAAATTGATATATAATGGGAAAACCTTTTACACATCTTTTCCTTATGACCCACTCATCGGTCTGGTTTTTGAGAACCACTGCGTCAAACTGAACATTGTGGATGTCTGCTGAGGTTGAGTTGATAAAATTATTGTCCGAATAATGAACGCAAAGGAAGAATATTGCTATAATAAGTATGACAAGGTAAGGGGGTCTGATGAAAAAAAAAACAATGTTACTCAGTTGAGCTTTGTTGCACAATGGAATCTTGTTTTATAATTTTTCATACTTAAGTCTGCAAATAACAATTAAATAAATGCCGTTTTTAGACAATTACGTGCAGAGAAAATAATAAGAAGAAATATTGTCGACATTCTTCAGTCTACATCAGCCTTAGCTTGATAAACACACAATCGACATCTAGAGCATCTTTTGATCTACGTGTAACATCAGAGGAAGCGGAAACAGGCACGTATAAGTATTCAATAGATATACATGTATCTTTCGAGGAAAAAGACACTGAATCAGTCATGAAATTTATAACGATTGTAGAGTAAATATAGACTGCTAAAATTCAAAAGATGTAACAAGACGTTTGCACACGCAATCGTGAGTTTTTAAAAAAATGTTCACCATTAAGATTCATATAATGCAATATATATATATATATATATATATATATATATATATATATATATATATATATATATTATATATATATATATATATATATATATATATGTGTGCGCTGATATATGAATACTAGCATTTGCTGAATACCTTGGATCACAAACTAATATCATATAGTATACTTTAATGTAAATTGGTTGAATCTGATTCGTAAAGAAATATTTGTTAAAAACACTATAACCCGCTGAATAATGAAGCAATGTCCTCCAGCGTTGCAACTGATGACATTGCTTGACGACAGATGATATTCAAAAGTGATGACAGCGGGGAATTTATACGCGCAAGGTTTACTGTGATATATTTTTGCATAAAACTTTCAGTATAATAATTATAATAAATATTGCATGAAAATTTTCACCCCTCGAAAACCCATGTCAACCTCGGTTGACAAGGATATTTAGGGTGAAAATTTTCAGTTTCACTCAACTACAGGCAATGTTGATACATAAGATACTCTGTTTAACGTTCCTCAAATTCATGTTTCATTTAAATTTAATTAAATACGAGGGTTGTTCGAAAAGTTCATGGACATCTGTCATATCTTTTTTATTAAAGATCATATTTTATCTGAATTTAGTAGAAATCGCGACACTTTGTATTCGCAGGTAAGACATTAACTCCTTTTAAGCGAGGAAAATTTTTCACGAATTATGGTTACTGCTTTTTATAATTTTACGGAACACTGATAAACACGAGAATGATATTTTCGCGAATACACTGTCTCGTGTAATTACGCGAAAATAAGGTTGTTGCAAATTATAAGTCATTTACAGTAGGAAAGATAAAAATAAACAAAAATTTCCTGTCTTTCTTTTTTACAGACTGGGCTGTAGTTGGTGGTATTATCGGCGGAGTAATTGGTGGAGTGATTTTGATTACTGTGGTCGTCGCAGTCCTATTATGTATAGCTTGTAGAAGGCGAAGATCGCCTGGATACGTGCACAACCCAGCAAATTCAGGTTTTTAAATTTCCATTTAGTTTTATATAACAGGAAAAAAATATGAAAAGATTCCAACTTTATTTATGATATAATATTGATTATTTAATTTTAAAAAAATGTTACCAGAGTTTTAATTGATTACGACTCACAGCTCAATGTATAAAAAAATCTCTAGAAAAAAAATTTAATTATATTGTTGATGTATAAAAAAAAATTAGATTAAAATGTCAATAGCCACACTACATAACAAATGAAACGAACATGCAGTGCTTTTTCATAGTTTTTATTATATTATTGTTTTATTTAGTTCCGATGTCAAATCAAAGTAATCCGTCCTATCCCAGTACAGGATATCCACAAAACACATACGGAAACTACCCAACTCAGTCTCCAGCTGCTGGAAGTTATCCAACACAACCAACCGGAAGTTATCCAACACAACCGCCAGCTGAAACTCAGTTTGGAATAACTGAAAAATTCTAAATATATAAAGAGTATGAAAAATAGATAGAAGATAAAAAGATGTACTGGTTCTTTACATTAAACATTGTCAAATTTTTGTATTTGTACAAAATTTAAAAACCAAAGATTTTACATTATTTTTAAATGTAGTCAAAGTAATCTACATACATTTAAAAAGAAACTTTTGACTTGAATTTAAATGAAAAAAAAATCTTTAAAAATTATTAACCATACGACATAAATGGTGAAATGAGAAATAAGTAAATATTTATATTTATGACTTGTACATTACTTACTTGACTTAATTATAAAGCAAGAATTGTAAAATGTTGTTATCTATCATTATATGGATCTTTTCTTCGTTTTAAAAAAACTGTTTAACAAGTTCCACATGAGAGTTAATTAGTAACATTTAAGTACGACCTCTTACTGTTTATGGAGAAGGTATTGTATTTTTTTCTCGTCATGAAATGCATAGAAGCAAAATGTTAGTTAAAAAGGACTCCAACAAAATACTGTACAATGAATTTACTTAGGTTAATGTCATGATATATATCGTATCACAGACACTTGGGGGCGTGGGTATCCTCGTTTTCATATTTTTCTTTTTAAGTCTGGGGATGAATTACTTTTTTCAATTTTTTTTCTAATTTTGTATTCTAATATATCTTATGTAATTGATAATGTAACATTTTTCCTCTACGAGCTGATACATAAAACATTTAAAAAGAGAATTTCTCTTCTTTTCTTGTTGTCTGCCTTACCTCGCTAAATCATCTTTCATTCATTCTATCAATATTTAAAAGGCAACGATTTGCAAATATCTCTATTAAATCTATAAGATCCAGGGTAAATTTTGTTGATGTACATCAGCCGTTTATGGAAGGGCCTGTTTTTTTTTTCGGGCGTCGTCATTATGTGTAATGTCATTAGTTCCAAGAGGAAAAAAATAAAAATCCTGACATTTCTCCTATATAATTGGCAAAATCTATATCCCATTATCCCATTCTGATTGGTGAATATCAAAATTTATCAACATTTGTCATTCAAGGAGAAACGTTTAAAGGTCTAGTAGATATTACAAAATTTATCGACTGAAACCCTTTATCCCATTTTCAACATAAATATAGAGACTTAATGTATTCAGTTTGTATAACAAAATTTCCTCTGAAATGTCTTTGGAAGTATTGGAAAACAGGTTGTGTGAAATTGGAATGTTGTTGAATTTTGCAGAAAACAGATGTTTTGAGAAAATTCAGCAAAGAGTTAAAATAACAACACACCCCTCCATCCAAAAATTAAATTGTTTTGTAATCTTCATAAGGAGTTCTTTTATGATATATTTGAACATTTTGGAACAGGGCTGTGCTGTGTATAAAATAAAAAAAATACATGGCTATTTTTGCAGAATAATGATGCAATTTATGACCTTGTGTGTTAAAATCTGTTGCCTTGTTGACTAAAACAAAGCAATTTTGATTTTTCAGAATTTCACAGGGCAAAAAAGGTCTTTGTTGCCCTTGCTCTTTCATGGCATTCTAATTACTAGTACTGGACCTTGAAAATCTTTTTGATACAAAACATTGGAAAGAATTGAAATTGTTTTCGCACTTCCACGACTAGCTGATAATATTATAAAAATATAAACACTCAAAAGCATCAAGTTGTTGATGGTGGGGGGGGGGGGAGGGAGTGGGGAGGGTCTAGTTCACATGAATTTTGAAGGCAAAATAGACATTATACTTGATATTCAATTTTCATCACTGACTGTACACGGAAAATGTTAAATCATTATTCTTCAGCAAGTCGAGACTATTGATTTGTTTTATCTTTGAATAAAATTGATCTCTTGAAACACGAAATAAGGAACCCAATCCAGATCTTTACTATTGCGTATAAATAGCAAATTATATGTTTGAAACTCGTGGTTACAATTCAGGATTTAACGTCATGATGTCAAAGAACAAAAGTAGATGACGGTACCCGGTCACGTTCGAAGCATGACGTGTTTCAAAACCTCTGAAATATAAAGCAGAATTATGACTTGTACATGTGTATACATAAACAAAGTATTGCTTTTTCAAAAAGCTTTGCCGTGTTTAGCAAGATCATTAAACAGTAAGCTGACTTGCACCTAATAAACTTTAATATTCATGACTACTGTAGATCTTTTGCAACAGCTTTGTTATAGAAATACGCCCTACCATATATACAAAGATAAAGAAAAAGTGTACTTTTCACTGTCTGCATGCAAATAAAATAACATTCTTTAATGAAAATATTTTCAAAATAAATTTTACAAAAAGTTAAAGTGTAAGTTTTATTATGTTCATTTTTTTTTACCTGTTTCATTAACTTGTACCAATTGAAATTCTTGAAATAATGTTCAAATGTACGAAGATTAGACCACCAGAAAGTTATCTCTATTTCACACTGTTGAATTGGTTGTAAACAAGGGTGTAGAGATAAATGTACAAGATAAAGATAACGTACAGTGATTGATCTTAAAAAATCTTTGAACAAATCAAATAGATGAAGAGTGCAACTGCAATTCCAGAGGTGGGATCAGGTGCCTTAGAGGAATAAGCATCCCCTGCTGACAGTTCAGACCGGGCGTGAGCACTATGTATTGATTAGGAAGATGGAACTTTACGTAATATTCAAATAAAGACAAAGGACTAACGATTGGTATCAAAGTAAGGCAAAATATGACCCAACGATAGAAATATTTGCTAACAAGGTCAATCCTCTGATAATGCAAACGATCAAAGTTGGACAACAGTGGTTCTTTCTGTTAATGAAGGAGACAATGTACGCTGTATCTCTAAAAAGTAAGGTTATTATAATAGAATATATTTTCAAAGACCACGTTCAAAGTTCGTTCTCTTGTTGGAAGTAATAAATATTCTGTCAATGTATTTTTCTTTTAAGGACAGACGAGACGTTCCTTAACAAAAAGATAAATTTTTCTAATAGTTTGTCATTGAAGTATTGCTACTTAAATATGTTTACTCACAAAAAATTGAGGTACCTTGCCAGGCATTTCTGCAAGATACCAGGGGTAGTTTTTCTTTTATATTTCTTTGGGAAATTTTTTTTCAATTTTAAATGTTTAAGTGTTTGGATCTTTTATAAACGTTTAGAAACTGGTTTAGAAATCAGAATGTTAATAGAATTATAAATATTTTTCATACATTACGAAGATATACAAAACAGATTTTGAGGAACGTCTCATCTGACCTTAATTCATATTATCAATTCCTTTCATTTGTAGAATTATGTAAAGACATTCGAAGTACATGTATATCTATACTGTAATACATATATATTGCATTGTTTTTAGAGTCATGTTCTGTGGATGCCCTTAGACAGTGTGTCTACCCATCACGCCATCTGATATCACTTGTTCTGAGCATATTTCTCTCTCAAACTTAAACTACAGAGAGCCTGTGGATAGAGGATGAAGAGTGACCTTGGACTAATTTTCTAGGTCAAAGGTCAGTATCAAAATGTACTGTATATCTTTATTCAAAGTCATAGTCCAGAGTATATTTCTCCCTTGGTGTATCTAGCTTTTATGCAATGGGGTGGAGGGTCTGCAATGATCTTCAACCAATTTTTAAGGTCAAATATCAAAATTTTAAAAAATTCTCTCTCTAATATTTTTGTTATTATAAAGAGTATGTTTCCTCTCAAACTAATTCAACTTAAAGCAGGGTTCTATGAAATTGTAATATATTCTCAATTACATAATAAGGCTGAAAACATTATTTATATTATGTAATATTTTTTCCTTATCATAAAGCATTAAATTTTAAAGAGACACATTAAATGCTGAAATCATATGTATCATGGTCATAGAAAGTAATTATTGATATTGGTATATTAAAGAACATTGACTGACCTTTCAGATTTCTAAGTTATATTCAAGCATTATAATTCTGACACATCATATGATAATTTTGTATGAATATTGCAGATCATAGGTGATGTGAAGAAAATACCAGGGAACTGATGTTGAAAGAAGTACTTAATGACGCTTATGAATGGACTTAAATGTGAAAAACTGTTCCATTGTTTATCTAAGATATATGAATTTATTTAGTATTTTGATATCATTGAAAAATACCGTTACAGTTTTTGTACATCAAATGAATTATTAAACCATATAAAATTGTAATGCTTTTTTCTCTTACATGTAATAATTTTTTTGATAGATTTTTGAAAAGAATACACATAATTTCACATCGCTTCCTTTAGAAAAGTTAGGGAATCTTGAAGTTTCCCAGTAATTTCAACCCAGGAATGGGACTCCAGATAATTCCACCAAGTTTCCGCCACACAGAAACTGGTACACAAGTTCCATATAGTTTCCGAAGTCAAGGAAACTTTAGGAATCCTAAGGTTTCACGAGCTTCCATGTAGTTTCCTGTAATAGGAAACCTTAAGATTCCATCAAGTTTCCATTTCACGGAAACCACTACGCTCCGATTCCATGTGGTTTCCTGAGTCACGGAAACTTTAGGAATCGTGAGGTTTCCCAAGCTTCCATGTAGTTTCCCTTAAAGGAAACCTAAAGATTCCACCAAGATTCCATTCCACGGAAACCAATACGCTCCGATTCCATCAAGTTTCCTGATTCTGGAAACCAGTGAAATCTTCAGCTAACAAACGCCGAAAAATATAATGCATTCTAAGTTCTGAAAATTTTCACACTTTTAACTTAGAATTCTTTAAATCAAAGAAGTCATAAAAGTCTCATTGCATTCAAAATTGATCTCGGAGCAATGCAGTATTCTAGAAATAAGAAAGGTCCTCTGATTATAATACTCATATTGAATCTTAATAGAAGCGTCTAAAGACTTTTTTTTATTATAGTCTCTGTAATCTTACCACTAAAAAAAATCTTTGATACATATGCATATACCTACAAAAAAAAAATACATGGATGGATGCATATGTATCAAAGATGTGGTCCCTCAAGAAATCCAAACCAAGAATACCATTTACCCCTATTTGAGCTACTGCAAACATTCTCTCGAAACTCTGATTTCCCAACTTAAAGGGAATTACAATCAAACCATCCACTTTAAGTGGTAAGCCGTCTGCAGTAACTATTGGCTTCCGCAATTCATTAAGTTTTGAAAAAGACCCCAAAACAGAATGAAGGATCTCTGAGGATAGAATGCTAATGGTTGCCCCAGAATCTATCAAAAATCGGACAACCTTGCCATAAATTGAGGCATGTGTGAGAAAAGAAAAAAATCCTATAAAACAATAAGATCAATTATTTTAAGAAAAATATAGCAAAAAGATGGCACATCAAAACAAAAGGGCACCAACTGGGCCATATTGATAATTACAAATATCCACCTTATACAATTTATAAGAATGCGAGAGGTAGGATTGCAGGGGCGGTGGCGGTTCTTCAAAATATACGTGATTCCAAAAATACCGTGGACAGCGTGGGAATAAAAATACAAGTGTTCCGCTCAACTGTCCACATGATCCTAGCCCGCTAATCATTGGCTGGAATTTCGCATCCCACCGGCGTAAAATCCCAGCCTGCAATATCTATTACATAAACCATCGCACACATGAAAATATAACGTATTTAATACATAAACAACGCATTTAATACATAAATTCAATTATAATCATAATTGCTGTTTTTTTCCTCGCAAATTCGTTTCCCAGTTTAATTCGTCATAATCTAATTGCATACTTTAATGTTTTCTGACAATTTTCACCTTCATTCTATTTCCGAATCCTTTATCAATATAAATCAAGGATCCTATTATCTAACATTATTGAAAACAACCACGCATTTTATGCGGAAATAAAAAAAGAGGTATAAAAGACCTTTCTCCGCTTCTATTCTAGATATATAGATAAATACCATGTTGGTAACAAATATTGTTGCTTTAGGTGCAATTGTTGTTTGTCACGGACATAAAGTCCAACGCCTTTTGGTCACAAGTCCGCAGTTTTCAAACGAAAGAATGACTCATGTGGAGACCCTTATTCAGAACCTGACGGCCACTGTTCAACAACTTACCCAGAGACTTGCAACAATTGAAAAACACAGTATGTAAATGTACTGTTAACCAATTACTATTTCCGTCATCCTTTTTTCGCAATTCGTCAGTTTGATATTAATCCGCTACGATTAATTTTCGCGAGTGAGGAAACATTCACGTACAAAACCGTTAGATTTTAAACTGCTTAAAACCTTCAATGATGCAAAATGAATGGCAAACAATATAAAGTTTTGCTTGCTAATTTAGAAAACAAATAGGTTTTTTTTTTACAGAGTACTTGTTTATAGATTTCGTAATCTGTAATCTTAAGTTTATTCTTCTTTGAAAAGGTTAAGGTAACTTTACATATAACTCTGCGTAAATTCTTTGCATTAAGATAGGTCAGTGTCTTTCACAACCTATAAATTATTTCATTTGAATATATTAAATAACTTACAAAACAAACAAAGGAACCAGTTATGAATAAAATACATTGCTTTGTATGCTTTTCTTCATGCAACCTGTCTTGAAGATATACTTTTCAAAATTCAACAGTCAACATTCACAAAGAAGTATGATCTCGATCATAATTTATTTCTTAATACACCAAAGCAAATCAGTTTAGATAAAATATTTAAAATATTTAAAATACGGTTGTCTTCGTTCATCAGATAAAAATCACAGGATACTGAATTTAAATTAATTTTCAAAATATGAACTGTTTACAAGCTATTTTTTCTTTCAAATTATTTATAATTAAAATTGAGGTTAACAAAAAACACAAATATTTTATCATGGTTGACAACAAAAATTTTATAAAACACTCCTTTGAATATGTATTCCCCCATTTTTGGAATATCATGTTTAACAATCATACTTTCCAAGATTTGGAAAAATTGTAAAATGTGAAAATGTTCTTAAAATCAGTGAAAATAAATTCCAAGTCATTTTACAAAAAAATACTGTGATATTTGGCCCATATACCAGTAAAATGAAATATAATGGCTTGTATGCATACAAAACACCATGAAAATTACATACTTGTTCACCATCATAAAAATCATTTTGGTTGAATAAAGGATAACTAGAATTTTATAATCAGTGTATAAAATCAACACCTTATTCGTAACAGTGTAGACCGTCCTTGGAACTTAGATTTAAATTTGGTCCAAAATATAATCTTTTGCATTTTATATTTTAAAAATATTGCCTTCATCATATAAAGTGTGTTCGTGTTGTATCGTTAAAAATGCTGTAAAATCACAAATTTCAATAGGACGAATTTTCGAAGTCTGGGATAAAATCATTGATATATACCAGGGATTTGAATTCATGGTTGGAGAAGTGTTGAGTAATAATGCATTATAAATTTTACATTTCGTGGTGGCCAAGAATAAGTAGGTATTAGCTTTCCTCGAAAACAACGAAAATCAGACCCAACGGAAATTTCACCTTGTGTACAAGACTACCGATATGTTCATCTTGAAATGTTTCATCGATGGAAGCCAAATGCTTTTTTTTAATAAGTGGCTTAGAAAACGGTTCAACTTACGTGGGTATGTTAAAGCTCAAACGAGATACATTGTATTCAATTTGACTATATATAAAATAGATCTCGTAAAAATTATATTACTTGAACTTTCAAAGAAAGACTCTAATCTTTACAATAATCTTAGTATTGCCTTGACATACATTTAGCTGCATATATAGTTAAATGTTTATGGATTTATTGAAGTGTATAGTTTTCATAACAAATAAAGACCATTGGTTGTAAACGTAAAAAAAATGTGCCTCAGCATTTGCAATTTATATAGCATGCATGTATAATAATGAAGAAATCAAACAATGAATGAATTCTACTCAATTTTTGAATACATTTGATAAATGTAAAACGTGTTTCACTACTCATGTACAGTTTTTGTAATCTGAAATTGTACATGTACATGTAAAAACTTTTCTCAAAATTTAAAATGATTTCTTTATCCTTAACAAAAAAATCACTATACAATACAATCTATTTAAAAAGATTGATTCGCACAGCCCTTATTTATGATATTAGATCAATAAGAATAATTCATTTGAACATGTCATCTGAATGATCTTGAAATGAATAACATTGAGACTGACAAACATCACTTGTTATTCAATTTATATAAATACAAAACACTCTAATCATTTGATATTTTTCTTTACACGATAGACTCCAATCCAGTTTACTTTTCTGCATACCTAATCAACACACTCACCCCTCCTCGTGACCGCCAGACAAACGTGGTATATAATGGTCTTCATTATGACAGTCATAAAGCCTACAACCCATCCACTGGATACTTTACAGCTCCCGTCTCTGGATTATACGTCTTCAGTTGGGAAAATCTGACAGCCCCGGGAAAGTTATTTGATACGGAATTGCTAGTAAATGGAATTCGTCAAGAGGTAGACAACTGCAATAACGAAGGGGCATCTGCCGGTTATCTCAGCTGTACTCAGGTTTTACCAGTAAAACTTAATGCTGGTGACCTAGTGAATATAAGAACTATCTATGGGAATTATGCTCATGGTGGATGGTCGAGTTTTAGTGGTTGGCTTGTGCACTGACATTTCAATAGTCATTAAAAAGATGCGAACAACGTTATGCAAAGTTTTATACATTGTCTATTTTTTTTAGTTTTTACATGGTTATAGTATTATCATGAAGAATTGTCCTGGATTTATTACACGCACAGCAATTTTGAAAAAAAAAACAGGGAAAATGCTTAGTGAAGGCACATACTCCTTAATTACATTCCTAACTTGTACCTCTGACAACTATAAAAAATCACAGCAGTTTGACGCGTGGTTAGTGGTAATCAAAGTCAACTAATCAAAAATAAAACTTGCATCAGGCGCAAGGATATTGTACCATGCATCTTAAGCTTCACTTTTATTCACTTGTATAGAGCAGTGTAGAGGTAATATAAAAACCCATGAAAAGCGAAATGATATTAAACATGAGACATATGATACGAATTTTTCCTAAGTTGAAATGTTCTCGTGTCTTATCATCTCTTATTCTATTTAAAAGAAGATGGGATGTTATCATTTTTTGGGTTTTTTTTGTGTGTGCATTTTTTTTTCAATTTAATTTCAATTTATTTCTTAATCAATCTACTCCATTCATAATCTCTTTATATCGAACAATACAGCGTAGTGGAAATGGGAACTACGCTAGATTTGACCATTTCTCGATCATTACAAAGGGAATTTAAACGACAGACGCTGCTTACTCCTCCGTGGCACCGTGTTTGTTTTGCTTAAGGAAAACGGATTGGTCCAGCTGTATTTGTTTCCCTAAAACGTACTGATTTAAAAATAAGATTTCCATTATCTACATGTATAAGCAGAGATACGAGTTAAAAGGATAAAAATTTAGTTTGAAAATGGTGAAAACTTTAATGGTTATCTCGTAAAAAATATTTTAAAGGCCCATTACATTCCAGTTTAACTGTGGAATAGAATCAGTCCAAATGCTATTGACATTGACATTTCATCTATAGAGGTAGACTGTGCCTAGTTTTCAAATCCAGTATTCTTCTTTAAGTTGTCTTGCCTATGTAAAGATGCACCCTATGATGGGCGACACTAGACCAAAGGCTCTAGCCACTGTCGACTCGTAAGACAAACAAGGATCGTAAAAATAGAGGGTATTTACTTCTTTCTATCATATCAGGTCAAGGAAGATGTGTTACATCATTCCCCGTTATGGGAAGGAAAATCGAGGGTTTTACCGCACTTCTGATATTTGTCATATTGTGAAAGGATATCGTTTTGATATCCTTACACACTGTGACTGGATATCATTTTTATACAATGAATAAATTAAAGTATTTCACTTGTGAAAATGTAATAAAGCAGGCAAATGAATTTGAGATTTAATGAATAAATTAGCGTCGCTTGATGATTTCTTCAATAATTTCACGTTTAAATTTAAGCCTTCATATTTATATAGTATCTGGTTATCCTTTTGTTCATTTTTGACATTAAACTTAAACTGGAGAAACTAAAAATCTTAGTCGTGAAAATCCTTACTTATTTGTCTCTATTCGAAAATGACTTCATATGTTAGCTATTAATAAATGATAACAAACACGCACGATATACATAAATAGAAATTCTGCAGACCTTTGCCCATTTATTCACTTATCCTAGTTAGATAAGTACTATGTTAGTTACAAATTTTGTTGTTCTAAGTGCAATTGCCCTGTGTCACGGACAGAGAGTCCAGCGGCTTCTTGTTACAGATCCCCAGGCTACAAACGAAAAGATTTCTCATTTGGAGGCCACTGTACAGGATCTGAAGGCCACCGTTCAGCAACTCACAAACAGACTCGCAACAGTTGAAACATACAGTATGTTATACCTGCACTTATGTTTTTTAAGCATATGATATTCTTATGAAATAATTTGTATTTAACGTTTTATCTTTGTCACTTTTGTGCATTGTGTTCATTATTTGAAACAAAATTCAAAAGCAGAGAAATGATATACCAAGGATATGTGTAGAGGTGGTTTAGAAAAATGGCCGAGACTTTAGCATAACCCACAGAAGACAACTTAAGTTTATAGTTTAAATAAAAACAAATTTCTTTTAGCCTTACCAATGTGTATGTCTTTTTGTGATTTTTGTCTTTTATAAAAAATTAAAAGCAGAGCAGACTGCATTGTGGAATTCATTTTGACTTGAGAATGCATGCCTTGCTACATATCTCTCCTATCTTATCTTTTGAACTATATGAAAGTAAGGTTTAATTGACTTTCGCATAAATTTAATTTCACAAGTGATTTTATGTAATAAAATGACTATTAGCCTTTGTTCTTACTTGTTTTCACCTATTTGTTATCTCTCTTCACAATTTAGACTCCAATCCAGTTTACTTTTCTGCATTCCTTACCAACACATTCACCCCTCCTCGTGACCGTCAAACAAACGTGGTATATAATGGTGTTCATTATGACAGCCATAAAGCCTACAACCCATCCACGGGCTTCTTCACCGCGCCCGTTACAGGGTTATACGTCTTCAGTTGGGAAAACCTGACCGCACCAGGAAAAACATTTGACACAGAATTGCTAGTCAATGGAGTTCGACATGAGCTAGATAACTGTAATAATGAAGGGACAACCACCGGTTATCTCAGTTGTACTCAGGTTGTGCCGGTTAAACTTAACGCTGGTGACCACGTGAACATAAGAACAACCTATGGGAATTATGCCCATGGTGGATGGTGCAGTTTTAGTGGTTGGCTTGTACACTGAGTTATCAATAAAAGAAAAAGAAAAAAAGGAAACTATGTTTTATATTATGGTTAATGGTTTATTAAATATTTTACAAAGTGTTAATATGATCCTGTAATATCAACGATGGGTTTTTCACATGAGCTAAGATTGAAAAAGAGAAAAGGAAAAGTTGCGATTTGCAAGCACATGACATGGACTTTTTGGTATTAAATCTAGGGCTGTTAAAACATCACATGCATCAGACCTATGAATGGTGTTATATACAGCTAAATGTCTGTGATGTTTATAATTGGGGAAAATACTAGTAACTAGAAACAACATGTATTTTGGAAACACCGCTGCCCCCTGTGACAGCTAGTGATGAGGGTTGAGTTTTCTCAAAAACACGTCAAACTCCATAAGTTAGTGTCAAAAGGTCAAACTTGTTTGGTACACAAAGGAATGATTTGTTAGAAGAAATATACCAGTGAAATAAGAAAGCCTTAGCTCTTACTGTTCAATAGGTACATGTATGACCTAGGTTAAAGTTTTAAAAGTGGGTCAAACTCTGAGGTCAAGGTCAAATTATCGAAAAAATTTATACCCACTAAAAAGTCTTATCATGATATATACACATGTGTCGTATTATAGCATTAGCAACTTGTTCAAAAGTTTTGGGCAAGATTAAAGTTCGGAATTTTGTTTGTAAAAGTAGGTCAAACTCCAAGGAGAAGAAGTCAAAGTTAATGGTACCCTCAAAAACATTTTGTAGCAAAGAAAACACCTGTGAAATATGAAAACCATATCCCCATCCTCTCAAAAGTTATGGGAAAGGTAAAAGTTTTGAAGAACAAATAAAAAGACAGCTAGACAGATAGAATAACAGACAGACAGACAAACGGACTAATAGGACAAAAACTATATTTCCCTGAAACTTCAACATTTCGCAGAGTCTATGGTCGATCATAATGAACTCGTCGTCATGTACGGCCTATGAAGTATAATGTTGCCCGATGAGTTTCATACAAGTTGCAAAACCATTATTTTCAAACTGCATTGAATACGGATTTTCCGAATACAAGGATAATTCCGCGCATATAATGTGTATTGTTTTAAGTGATCCTTGTTTTTTTCTGCTTTTGATTGATTCAAAATACTTTTACGCATGATTGATGTTCATTATCTTCATGTTTTACTGATATAATAATTACATGAGACACAAAATCAGATTTATATACAGTACGTTTACGTCATGTGTCTGATAAAGTCATTTCGATTTGAATTTGTCATTCAACCAGAAGATCTGTTTATTTCGTCCCCTAATTCCAGTGTAAATTGGAACTGAAAGGAAATGTGGTATAATTTTCTTGGACAACTGAATTTTGGTCATTCAAATGGTTTCTTTTTCATTATAATTATATAACATATGCATTTGCACTATGTATAATTTTTTATTTTTGGCACCTGAATACGCATGCGCAACGATTTTGCATCTTTTGTTTCATATGCCAGATATATTGATTCGATAGTAAACTTTGTCAATGAAAGTTTTTTTTATTAAATGAGTATGCCATTGTGCAACATCTTCACGGACAATAAACCACTGCTTATCCTTTAGAAAAGATATTGTTGAAGAACAAAGAACATAGAAAAATGTGTTTAAGGACTACACTATGAAATGGTATTATTAATCAAATGCATAATCTAAATATCTTGTGCCGGGGGTAGATATTCTTCATCTACAATTACACATTTACTGCAAATTCAAATTCGTCCTAAATACTGACTGCATTATTGAGTTCGTGTATCCGGTTATTATTCAATGATATATATACGTATAGATACATGTACAACAATAATTGTCAGATTGAGAGAAATTGCGGATCCATCATGTTTACATATCCAGGTTTGTGCAAGTTTTTCTACTTTTAATGCATAAAATATTAATAATAAAGATGTACTTTATCTCATATAGATTGTCCAAATGGGTATTCCCCAATGTAAGTGTTGAAATGTACATCTTTTTTTAAACTTACGTTATATTTATATTCATTAACAAAAAAATATTTTGATTGTTTCAAGGTTTCGAATCAAAATAATACTATACAATGATTTAGCCATCTGAGGAGTACAATATTCGAAAGACGAGGTGAATATTGTACTTCGAAGATGGCTAAATCATTGTATTGACCGACAAAAACAGCAATAATTATTTTATTATATGATTCACTGATAAAATGCTACAGTTTACTACTTGTTTGCATTTATTTAAGTCCTAGCCAAATGCAAGAAAAAAGCAGAATTAAAATGTAAATAAACCTTACTAGTCGTATCAATTTGAAATGTTTTTTTTTAAATCTATTTTAGTTGCCGTGAAAAAAAGATATAATGTCAGTCTTTTTTATAGGATGGATTTTGAAAAGAAGGATTATTATCAGGGAAAACTGAAAAAAAAGTAAAAATTGTTGTTCAGTAAAAGTGTTGGAGGGGGGTCCCTGCATCCCCTCTAACCACCCTCACCCGAAAATATATATTCGCTTGTTTTGTTCACATAAAAAAGTCATAGTCGTTTAAATAGCTTTCCAAAAGAATTTGTATCAATTTGGAATTTCTCGATCTATTTTTAGATCAATGTAGAGGAAATAAATCCTTGTATTCACCTGGAACGTCACGTGCAGGTCAATACAACGTAGTATTTTTCTAACATAGTTGGATCTCAGCCAATAAGAGAGATGGAAATTATTCAATAATATAATAAATGTAATTATATCAATGTCACATGCATTTGTCTGCGCTTTGGACTAAAATTTGGTTAATAGTTGAAGCGACAACAACTTATTGGTGTCTTTAAAGTCATATCTAGAATTTTGAATTTTGATTTATTTGATCAAACTAAAATCCTTGATGTCAGTATATACATGTATATGCCTTACATACGATAATGTGTTCACAACTGTCCAAAAATAAAAGTTCATAGGGTCATTTGAACTTTGCTATTGCAGGTATACTTGAGATCCTACTGGCAACTTTATTCGTTTCGTGTTTATGTGATGTAGATAAACCAGATCATAAAACAGGTAAGTAACATCAATGCAATAATAATTATAACAACAATTAACATATTTATCAAAATAAGTTACATTCTAGAACATAATTTATAAGTCGACTCGTATATCAACACCTAAACAATGTTTCTCAATATATATGTGTAATCTTTTGTTTACCATTTTGAAAGAAAATAATGGTGTCTTAGGATTTTCTTTACCTTTACCATGTTTACTCCGACTTCTGATTTTAGTAACGTTTGGCACGGACTGCAATGTAATGTCAGCAAAGATAGACAGCGAGATTTCCTACACCATCTTTTACAATGGATCTGTCGTCAACTCCAGTTGTGATGAAATGTCTTTCGTTAGTAACGATGACCATGAGATATGTGTGAAATCTTCAAAATTCCATGACCCTGATTGTGCAGTCGAACTTCTGATTGAGAGAGGAGAGGATGAAAAGGTGTTGCTTGCAATTACAAGCCATCCATAATTATCATTTACAAGCCTTAATAATTGAATCCGATTAAAGTGTTGTTTTGTTAATAATAATACATCAAGATTATATTAATCAATTGCCAAATGACTGTTTTAACCACTTGAAAATTGGAAAAGAAATTGAGTCCAGTTAACGCGTTTACATTTTATAAGAATTTTAATCCAAGTTAATGTGCTCCTTCTTATAACGTTTTTGTTTTTATTTTTATTATTATTTTTTTTTATTATATTGCTTTCACGATTATTTACGATTTGCAGGAGTCCAAATTTAATTGTCAAGCTACAGAAACATTCTGTTCCAAATCGAAAGGATCATTAAGTATACAATACATACTCCGCAACAACTTTTCCCCCCAAAATGTATCTTTCTCCATTGTTGTTTTTGCTGACGAATTCGGTGAGTTTTCTCTAACTGTTATGTATCAAAACCAGTTTATTCTTGTTTTTAAACATAAGGAAAGATTCATGTCTGTTTTCTGATTAGGTTTGATAAATAAAACTATACTTGCTCTTAATGTGGCATAAATACTTTAGATTAAGATAGGATTCTTCTCTGGTTTCTGACTAGATGAAATATTCAAAGTACATTTGCTTATATGTCTTAAGTATATATTCAGGTGTGAGTGATTTAAAGGACCATTTTTAAAAAATTTTTCTTTCCTCATCACAATTGTACAACTTCAAATAGAAATGGTAAACTTTGTTTAAAAACTAACAAGGACAATGTTTTTGGCGGAATGGTGGCGTATGAAACTATTTCTTTTCTGCCTCCCAAAATTATTATAGAACAATGAATTTAGATAAATTTTTTACACAATCAAAGACTTGAAGAACTTTTCAAATGTAAATTCAATTAATAATAAGGGACCAAAATTTTTAAATATATCAAATAGATATGATTTAAAAAAAAAAATCTAGAACTATGTTACCTTTTTTTTAACTGAGTACTGATTTGAACCAAAAATCCGTAAAAAGGATTTTTCTCTTTTAGTAAACGATCAAAACTTTTTGTTTCTGTATCATTTTGTATCTTTATGTGAAAACTTTACCATATGTGAAAATGAGCAAAAAAAAAATAAGTATAAGAAGCATATAGAAATGACTTATATATCCTAAAAATTTAAGAAAAGTAGGGAAAATTCGGATTAGCCAATATCCAATTTATTTAAATCACATTTATGTCAATTTGGTAATATCGTCTTATAGGCCCTTTATGGTAGTATCTTTTTATGCAAAAAGAAAAACATTCAATCTTTTGAAATACAAGTTGGGACCGCATAATTGGCACCAGTAACTTTTTATTATTAAGGTCATGGAAAAGGGTAGTGAACTTGACCTGACCTTGTCTCTAATACAAAACGGTCAAATTTAATTTCACTGATACCATCACATAGTGATATTGTCTTTTTGATTCTGTGAACATTTCATAAATTCTTGAATACAGGAAACATGATAAGAATCCTACCATTACGTATTTAGAATATCATCATGTTCTTATCTCTTCAATATTGTACAACATTGTTTAGAAATGCTGAAATGAGTTTGAAATTTAGTCAGATTGTTTTGGTCAAACGTCACAGTATGAAGTTATGTTTTTTCCGTTTCTCAAAATTTCTAAACAATAAATTTATCTAAGCAATCCAATACTTGAAGGAATTTCATTGAACTTCAATAATAATGGTATTTCGTTTTCAAATGATACTGTTAATTTTTTATTACAGATTGGGATCTGTTACGTACTGTGTTGAGTATCGTTATTCCGCTGTTTCTGTTTTTGGTCACCGGAATATTTTTAGCTTTCTGCTTCTTCTGTAACAGAAGAAGACGAACACGTGCACCATACAATACAAGGCCACCTGTCGGAAGTTATCCCACCCAGTCCTCTTCATATAACAACCCACCTACCGGAGCCGACTCTACACTGCCTCCTATATGCCCAACATAACCAATTTTCTGGGATTTCTGCAACACAGAACCCTTCGTACGATCCATCTTTTGGAGCATACTCTAAACATTAACCCGAAAATACCTTTACTTAAAAATACTCTGGGACTCATTACCAATAAAATGGAACATTTTAAGTTTGCCACCTGAAAACAATTTTGAATGTCTGAGAAACATATATATTATTATCAACATTTAACACGGCATCATTGTATTTTCAAAACAAAATTATATGATATTTACAAATTTTGAAATCATGCATATTCATTTCGACTCACTGTCGTGCATGTAAAATCATTCAATTACAATTATCACGACGATGTATCAAATTTCTCAGAGGAATTTGCAGAACTCCTCGAAAAAATCTTAACTACCGTGATGATGAAGAAATGTGGAGATAATTAACAATGATTGATGGTATATAGGGAATATAGAGTTGACACACGTTTTATTTCATGATGTTACTTCAAAAATTTAACACGTTATTGCTGTCACACTAGCTCAGTCGGTAGGGTGCTCCCTCTGTGATCGGAAAGTTGTGGTTCGAATCAATGGCCGCGACCAACCTAGTAAGACGAAAAGAAAGAAGTAGCAACTGTTCCTTTACCAAGCGCTCAGTTCTTTGAAGTGAGAGTTGCGGGTCCTTCGGATGAAACCTTAAATAACGATGGCTCGTGTCACGGTAGGCGTCGGCACGATAAAGACCCCCTCTGCTAAATGGCCCTGAGTGTCGAGTGAAGGTCTTAGTTTAAAATGAATCGTGACGTCTTTATATGAATGAAGTATTATTGAACGGAACGTTGAAAATCATGCATTCAATCACTTGCATTGTAATCATTACTGTTGCAGAAAATGGTCATTTTATTATAAAACAATATCACGAACAATTAAGTTTAATAAATCTTACTTTAGCATGTAGTTTTACCCAAGGTTTTTATGGGAAAAATATATCAAATAAAAAAATAAAATGGTCAAAAATAACATTTATTAAATCAATATCAAAAGTTATCATCCATAATTTGAAAATCATTTACAAGTTTATCTTTTAAACTCTATTTGTTTAATCTTTTTACCAACAAAACATTTTGTGCAATAATTTTCATTTAAATTCGTTTAATAATTGTTATTAAAAAATTGTCATTGTAATATTCACTTTTTATATAAATAGTGGCCATAATGCCAAAAATAACTGTGCTTTTGAAATTAATGGTTTCTTTTGTTTTGTTTCGAACATATTTTACCGTTCACGGTAGCTCAGTCAGTAGAGCGCTCACTCCGTGATCGGGAGGTCGTGGGTTCGAATCTTGGCCGCGACTGACCTAAGTCGATAAAAAAATGAATAGAAACTGTTACTTCGCCATGCCCGCCATCGGCACTTTAAAGTGAAAGCTGCGGGTCCTTCGGATGAGACCTTAAAAACTGATCCCCAAGTCAGCGGCAGGCGTTGGCATGATAGAGAGTCCTCAATGCTCAATGGCCCTGAGTGTCGAGTAAAGGTCAAAATTTGAAGCCCTTCACCGGTATATGGTAATGTTTCTGTATGAGTGAAAAATTCTCGAATGGGACGTAAAACAACATACAATCAATCAATCAATCAATCAATCGAACATATTTTATTGACTAAATAAAAAGTTTTTCTCTTTTTAAAGAGGCTGGGGATTGGCAGCCATTTTCAGAATATTTCTACATGTATTTCCTTTAAAAGAAGAGCTCCATATAAAGATATACAAAAATGATCAAATTTTGAAGCTAAAATTTATGAATTTTTTCTTTGCCAAATGATAGTTGACAGCTTAAGATATCGTATCTAAAAAAATAAGTTTAATCTGGTGGTTAATTTGTGGTTAATTTGTTGACCCCCTAGCCTCCTTAAAATCAATAATTTAATGCTACTATCAAGTAAGCAATTAAAAAAAGATAATAATACTAAGATAATGCTTTTTAATTAAAATGTACCATAGCTGGTTTCGTTCCAACCAGTCAGGTTTTTGTCTGTTTTATCATAAAGAAAAGATAAGATTCATAAATATACAAGCAATTTGAGCACATTACATGTATCAGAAATGATATTTTGTTCTGAATAAAAATTATATTACTGTTGTTGTCATTGCTGTTTTTCTCTCTGTTTTGATTTGATATAAATAACCTGTGCCTAAAATTGAATTGTGTAGGAAAATTATACATGTATATGAACTGGGTGACAGCTCTATCATTATATGATGTTTTTAGTTACTGTAAAATTCATCGTCGCAAACCACGGCCAAATATACGATTCACCTACATTCTGGCTGAATCAGAGGAGAACGTTTCGTATCTCAATATTATATTGACCAATGCGAGTAAACCATTGTCGGAAAATGAACTTTGACGCGTCCTATCAATACAGTATTATAGGATACGAAATAATTTTTTGGATACTGATGATTCGAATGATTATTTCAATTGCTATGGAAACAAAAATTGTCATTTGATGAACATGACGTCAGAGCAAACAGGGGTAAATTTTCAAGATAAGGACAATTTATGTGATCAAACAGCTACGGGTGGGAGAGAGCAATCTAATTAAGATACAAGAGTTTTTATCTGTTCCAACTAGATCGCTACATAAATCTAGTTGGAGCGGATCAAACATCTAATTTTAATTAGATTGAGGGGAGAGCTACATGTATTTGCAAACTCCGAATTGTAGCTTGAGACGAAGTGTAAAATGAAGACATATTATATTTTACAAAGTATTAAAATAATAACATTAATTTTTTACATAACTACATGACTGTATATTTTTTTGTTGCATAGATAACGACTAATTTAGATAAGATAACATTAGCAGTGATGAGAAATGCATTCAAATGGACACATCTTTCAAAAATAACATTTTAAACAGTTAAAATGACAAACATAATATATGGACGTTAAAAATGATAATAAATGTTTGGTCCAGATATTTTAATTTGACAATTAACAAAAAACAGAATAAAATTATTATATATTGATTTATTTTACCAATCGAGTAAACTGTCAAAAATTAATATCATAAGATCATATCATATCATGTCATTTTCCACAATGGACATTCCTATATAGAATATGAACCTATTTCTCTTCAGCAACATAAAACCGAGAGGTACTTAAGATTTGTTCCGTGATAGAAACATGCGTATAATAAATACATGACCATGCTGTAGTAACACTGAAATATATTTGACTTATATACAGTAGTACTTATCTCGTGATCTGAAGGTCAATCTCTGGTCTAAACTGAGCAATGTAGATAAAAAGTGAATAGCACTGTTTCTTTGCCAAGCTCTTGATTGGGAACTTCGATATACAAATTGCGGGTCTTTCGGATGAATCCTAAAATCCTAGGCCCTTTGTGACGTTAAATGTAGGTACAATAAAGATCCCTCTCTGCTCAAAGGCCCTGTGTGTCGAATAAAAGTCTATAAAAATTGAAGCCCTGCATTTGTCACGGTTCGGAGTCCGCATATAGCTCTTTTCTACCCGTGGCTGCTTGATCACATGTATAATTTGTCGTAATGTTGAATATTTACGCCTCTATGATGTGACGTCATGTTAATCCAATGACAATATTTGCTTCCATGGTAATTGAAATCAACATTGACATCATCAGTACACGAAAGTATTTTGCGATCGATTGGGTATTGAAAGGTCGCGACAAAATTTATTTTCCGACTATGATTTACTCGCATTAGTCAATATTTTAATGAAGTACGAAATATTCCCTTCTCATTCAAACACGGCCAGGATGGGAGAGGATCGTACAGTTTGGATGTGGTTTGCGACGATGTGTACGATGTGTACTTGTGTATGTTCATGTTAAATGAAATATTCTCGAATGAGATGAAAAACCAAATACAATCAATGAAGAACAGCTAACAAAAAAGTTTGCTAAGTCTCCACTGTAAATTCCTTATGTGATGTTTAATTCATAAATATCTGATTCAAATAGACTCTAGATATATACCATTGTCACGAAGAAAGCTCTTTATATTTTTCTTCGTATCATTGCTTTTTTGCGATTCGAAAAGTTTATTTCGGTCAAAGCCTTAATTTCAAACGAGATTTGCGACAGATTGTAAAACCCATAGATATATATTGTACTGAAAGGGGAAAAAAGAAACGCAGGGTAACATATAGTTTGCGATAATAAATTGACAACATGACCGGTAAAAATCCCCGGACAAAACACGTTCAAAATTGATATTTGCAAGTTTGTCTACACATCTTGTAGTACAATTTGATACATCTGATGTATGAACATGGTTTTCCGATACATACAGTCGATAAAGTGTTTTCAATCTAGGTAAAGTTGAAGAAAATTCCATGGGGTCTGAATTTTACATTACCTTAATAAGAACAAAGCAAAAAAGTGTTGTTTTGAAGTTTTTTTTATGATATTTTCCTCATTGAACATCTTACCCGACGTCAGAGAGGGCTTAGAATGGTTTTCGACCAAAAGTAACGATAACGTTGACGCGTATCAGAGCCAGGTCAAGATTTTTTGACCTTGCAGATTGACCTCCTTTTAAAAAACTTTAACCTTGACCATGATTTTTAACGGTAAAGACTAGGGCTTTCATACTTCACATATGTAATTCTTATGACAAGACCTTTAATTGGATACCAACAACTTTGACTTTGACCTTGGAGTTTGACCTACGTTGTGAACGGTTGGTGACTGGACTTTCATTCTTCATATATGTATTCTTTGTGCCAAGACCTTCCATTGAACACCAACAATTTTAATCTTTTGACCTTGACCTAGGAGATGGACCTACTTTTAAAAAACTTTAACCTTCGCCATAACATTTCAACGGTAAGGGCTACGGGTTTCATACTTTCCATATATAAAAAATAACACACAAGAAGTAAAGGCAATAGGTGAGTGGCCAGGTTTTTACTTTATAATTAAAAACTGTCACGATCCCAAGATTCTCGGTCTTATCTTTGCTAAATATTCTGGCCTTCTCCTTTGGATTAACTGAAAATAAATTAAAATCAGTCTGTGTTTTAAAAGTCAAAATCAGCAAGCATCGAGCATTGAATGGA